AGTAAACAAACGTAGTGAAGCTTTATTAATAAGAGTTTGTTGAAAATGTTTAAATTGACGCTCAGCTCAAGTACGGATAATAAAAGTGACAATTTAAAGGTAACATCCTTCGGGGGAGATGTCGAGACAAAAGGAGTGCAGAGTAGCAAAATGTGAAAAGAACTTTGGGGCAGCGGGAGGCCCGCATCAGACGGAGAGGAGTGATTTTGTTTGTGAAGATTGTTATCATACAGATAAAACATACGTTACACAGACACTGTTTATATACTTTACTCAGTATAACACTTATTATAGAAATATATATTAAAATTTAAATTAAAAACATCTTCTTTCTCGAATTAACATGTTATGGAAGAAAATAACTGGCTTTTCCATATCATGTAAATAAAAAAAGTAGACGAAAAATATACAACATTCTATTAACGATAGATGATTTTAAAAATGTATCCAATAAGTGGGAATATTATAGTTACAATAGTAGGTACCTACTTCAGGAAGTTGAATCATGGACTTAAGCAAATTAGCAAGGAGATTAAGACAGGAACACAGCTGTTCATATATTGGAGGATAGAAATCGATGATTGAATTACTTAAATAAATGTACAGATATCACGTGATCGGTTCAGTTTTTGGTTGGTTATTATATATTATGATGCTTATATTATTGTTACCAGGTGTAAATTGCTTGCCTCTCAATCTGTTATATGAATTTGCATCGTAAAATAAAAACATCTTCCAGTTTCTCAACCATGAAACTTGGAATATAATATCAATCTAGACTGATGAAAGAAAAAATGTTTCAATTGTCTGTTTTTACTTTGACAATTTCTTACTAATGAAGGGTGTAAATATTTTGCATACTGTAAACAGCGTTTAAACTTAAGTATTTCATGTCAATCTGCGATGATTTAAATCAAACTAGATATAAGCTGCAAGTCTATAGTATGGTCTAGTATATATATGTACTATAAGTCTATAGAATTCAGCTTATTTTTCCAGCTCTTCCATGAAAAAAGTGACGGGCTACTTGTCATGTCCTCGTTTACACTTATAATTATTACGGATTATTTCATACAATTATTATCCATTTAATATAGCAAAAAATAAAATTAATTTGCAGATAAATGTCTTTATAAATTCTATATGAAAATTATAATTTATATCATTCGGCATGCTATTGTTCGTACTGTGTTCGTAGGTCTAAAATATAATGTTGATAAGTAAAGCATATCAAAATTCAATAAGATTCGACCAGTTTAGAGATTTATCTTATCACAAATGAATTATTGAGCCATCCTTAGCCGTCTGTCATCACATACACATTGTGTGGAGGAAACTATGACTGAGCATATAATTAAATGCGTAATCTGATCGTTAAATGTCCTGCGCTTACCGGTTATAGAACTTAGGTTATTTATTTATTTTAATAGGAAGCCAACATAATGTACAATGATCTTACAAGGTACACTACAATTAAAGGCTAACTCAGCATGCATTCACAAAAAATATATATATAATAAAACAACGTAAAATTTCAAATTGAGAAAGAACGGCATAAATATGTAGAAAAGCATATAATAAATCAAGAGTTTATATGACTATATATTTTTCCTTAAATAATTGGTCTGTCACAAACATATCTGATTAAAAATAATATAACATGGTTACCTAACTTAGGTTTTCCTAATCCAACTCTTGATATTTATTTCACTTTTATGTTTCAATAAATATGCTTCACTTAATGTGATTCAACATTTTATACATCACTAGAGGTAAACGGGATAAGCTGAATCGTTTACATAAAACAGATTTATATATCTCACGCTCGAAAACAACATTGTTTACCGATGAAGCTTTCAAAAAAACTTTCCATTTATTATAAAGTATTAAAATAATGATGTGGATTATAAAGTGAATGTCCAAATTCAGACATCTCATAAAAACATTTGAAACAAGAATCTGAGCTTGTTTTTCATATTTTTTTCTTTATAAATAAGTCTTTATAAAATTGTAATAGTGAGATTTATATAGCTTTAAGAATACATTAAATCAAATACTGTAATTTGTATAAAGTAGAATACTAACAAAACACATTGCATGAGAGTAACTATCCTTTAAATAACATTATAAAAGTATACTATATAATATAAAATGTTCCTTATCAATACAATGTTCTATAATATCTGTTGCCAGATCAGCCGGTGGGAAGGGGTTGGTTATTTCAACGTAATTAAAACAAACATCACGATGTTCCACACTCATATCTAATTACGTTCGTGTTGCAATAATCACAGTGGCTATCACGGAATATCGATGTCCGACACGAATTAACACATCAAAAAATATATAGAAATCAAATTAATTATATATTAAAACATTTAAATTGATTTCATTATAAAACTTTTTGGATTTTATCCAATTTTTTTAACTATAATTGTAAAAGCACAATCAATACATCTTTTATTCAGCTTACGCTCGCTCTAAAGTAAATAAGATATCTTTTATAATCTAATTATACAAAGAGATAAAGGGTATCCACAAAAGAAATTGTAACTGAAAGTTATTTTAATGTTGTTACTTGGAAAATATTTTTCATAAAGTATTATATTTTGTTTCATCGTTTATTTATTTTTCATCGTGTAATATTTATAACATACAAAATGCTCGGAGCTTATTTAATTTGGACATTCATGGATTTTTTTGTAAAGAAATTAATATATATACATATATATAAATAATAATGTCATCAATAAACTTTTTATTAATTAAGTATCATATAGGTTTAAATTAAATATATATAAAATCCCTATTTCCGTTTGTTATTATGACAATCTGACAACAATGACGTTCTGTACATTCACTGAAAAGTGTAAGCGGTGCTCTCATAATCGGCTTCTAGACTTGTAGAACTTTCAAATTGTATTAATGTCACTTGCAACGAGTAACAAGTTGGAGAAATCACCTAACCTAATCTGACCGTTAGTCCGCAACAAATTATTGGCACTAGCCAGGATAGCTTTCGATACAGTCTCAAATAATATTCTTAACATTTGAATCTGTATGTAGTATGAATCTGTTTTTTACTAATTTTTTTACTTCTGTTAAAATAGTTTATATATCGTTGGCTTAATTATTCTTACTCATACAAATCAATGGGTAAATTTATGCAATATAAATCTTATTTTATGTGTATGTCTGTGTACTATATTATGATATAGAAAAGATCAGAAATCTCTGATAATTCCTGTGATCAATTATAAGTGTCTAAAAAAATAATTTCTTAAATCTTATCGTTTTGCAACAAAAATATTGATATCGTTTGAGAAATGAGTTTTATATTTTACAAATGGTTTCTAATGTTCATTTAGAGTTTTTATTAGATATTAAATTATTAAAAGAGCCTTCTAATGAAAAACGTACAGGGATTGTAAGTTGGTATTGAAAATGAATGACTTTTATATGTACAGGAATTATTATTCTGATAATAAGGTTCTGATCTATTCTATACTATAATATAGTACACATATATACGCTTGTATCACTCTTATATTAACAGTATGAATTCGTCCCTCTGTAAGGTGGTCCAACAAATTTGAATGTAAACATTTTTTTCAATGAACGCGCGGTGGTTGAAAGCAATTTGTCCAACAGTCATTGTGTGCACACTTCTCTTGATTGTCGTTGACGACCGTCTGAATTCGTAACGAAGTAGGATCCGTGGGTCCAGTGACCGCAATACCTCCTCTCAACGGACCATAGACGCTTTGTTTCAGAATCTATTGTCCACCGAATCTTACGTTACTTGATAAACATAATAAAATCGAACGATACATTGTCACAATACTTAATTTAACTTCACATTACGTCCAGGTCAAAGCGAGCAAATATTTTTTTGCTATCATGTTATAAAATTAAAGCCAAAAGTAAATATTAATACATCCAACAAGCCCAGCCTCCTTAACGAAGCTGACAAATTCGCGTGATAAAATTGAAGCTTTTTAAATGGGTTCAACACTGTTATGGTATTGCCGCATATTTTATTTAAATTCTGAAATGTGAATTTATATTTTAAATTTATTGTATACATTCCCGATAAACTGTTATGTGTTACTCAATGGTATGGGAGATTACGTTTTTATATTACTTGATATTTTAAATAACAATGTCTTTTGTATTTTTACCTTGTTCTTTATATTGTAATTAATTGTAGCATGTGGCTGGTAAAAATACTATAAATAGTTTTTGCGATATTATATCATTCATCCAAATCTAAACTTTTGCATAGAGAGTTAATTATTATTTATTACAACATCATATTAATTAATTTCCAGTATTGCATATATCATTTTAATCAAATTTGAAACGAACCTCACACAGTCGAATAGTTTACAATTTGGAAAGGTTATGTAACTTCAATGATAACGCGATAACGTCAAATTATTAAGTACCTATAACTCGATGAGGTATTTAATTTTATATTCATTAATTTAACTTAAAACATACTATGGCATTCGGTTATTTATGTTTATTTTTAAGGAGTATTTTTTAAGGTTGTAATATTTAACATTTTATTGAATGTAGCGTCGTTCAAAGTAGGAATTGCTGTTATGTATAAATTTCGATGAATATAGTAGTAGTACTCATTATTTATTGTTATATTAAAGAATTATATAATTCCTAAGATGTACTAGATAGTTAAGAAAAAGGTTATACGGCCACAATGTTATCTTCAACGGGGACGGTAAGTAAACTTTTTTCTTGCGTCCAGGCAATGGTAACGGCCGAGGTGGTGGCGGGCGTAGTGTAGGTGCGGGCGGCGCCGGGCCTCGCGAGGGGAGCGGCGGCGGCGGTGGTTGTGAGTGTGTGTCTGTGTGTGTGTATGCCTGTGTGTATGTGTGTGTGTGTGTGTGTGTGTGTGTGTGCGCGGCGCGAGGCTGCAGCGCCGCAGACAGTGCGGCGGTGAGCGCGGGTCGGGGCGCGCGGGGCGTCGCGGCGGCGCGATGCTGCGCGCCTCTCAGTCGAGACGCGAGGCCCGCCCGCCCTGGCCGCTCCTGAAGCCGCCCGGCCGCCCCACTAGCCCCGCCAGCCCCGCACGCTCCACGTACATCGCTTTTTCACTTATTAACGTACTTTTTAAGGGGCGTCCGATTAGTATAGTCCTGTCCGACGGCCGGTGCCCTGAAATCCTAATATCGAAGCGTTTCCACTTTTAGGGGAATCCGCGCGGGTTACACGATAAGTATTTTCGAAGCTTTCGGATGGACCGGAAGGGGGGAGGGCGCGGGGCGGCCGGATCCAGAGGGTCGCGGGGCGCAGGACCCCTCGCGGCGCAGGGTTAGTAGGTTCGCAATGTCGCGGCGTTGTCGGTCGGAATGCATTCGCGGACGTAAAGTAGCGACCTGAGGTGTCGTCGTGTCTCTCACCTGGGGTCGCTCAACTCTAACATTTTCAAACTCCGTTTCAACGCTCGAGCTTGTTGTTTGATTGTAAAGTTTAGTATTTTTTTCTAAATATTTTTTCTCTATATAATTTGGGTCAAGCACGAGATGCAAGGTCACCTGTAGGTGTCAACGAACCCCTCGTCTGGTAGCCGCGGTAGGTCGATGACGTCGGGGTCATCGGGTTAGATCCGTGCGAGTGTCGGCCGCCGCATGCCTCTCTCCGGTGCCGATGCCTACCGAATTAGATTCGCGGATGTGAATGTGAGCCGCCGGGGCCGATGAATAATATCTGCTGAACGTTTCAAAGTGCTCTCGTATAATAAACGGCGGAAGTGTGCATCGGCTGACAGAGTCTCAGGGAGGCCGCCGCGTTAACCCTGCCCGAATTAGTGCAGCGAACGTTACCAAAATAGCAAGGCGTGTACGATTACATGCGGCGCGTCAATGTCGGCTCGTCGCGCTGCGGCCGCCTCTCGACCGGTAAGTTTACAGTGTGTGTGCTCTCAGCACGACCAGCCCTATATGTGGAGGCGCCCCGTCATACGCACGACGCCCTCCCTCTCGCACCTCCCGGCATCTATTCCGGGACCCATCTGTTTCACTATACACACGATAAATTTAACGTCATGCTAAATATAAAGCATTAGACTATGCCTACGAATTCCGAATGCTTAGCGCTCCGATGAATCTTCGTATCACAGACATCATACGAGGATTGCTTCTGTGAAACGAGTTTTAATGTCTACGATTAAATGCTGCAAGGAAGACTTGTATTACAAGAAAGTGTTAGCGTTGTTCGCTTTAGCTGGTTGACTTCGGGTCAAATTGTCATTACGCTATCATTTGGTCCCCTTCAACCAGCTGTAGTTGACATCTGCTTTACTTTCCTGTCCAAAGAAGACACCAGAAGAACATAAGTGGTAGAAGTGATGTTGTAACGAATATATCGTTCAATTGTATCAATATAATAAGTCATGATATTTCTCTGTTTTTGTAACAAGCTGTGTATCATATGAGTGAAGTTTATAGTATCAAAAAAACTAAAAAAATAATTCAATTTAGTTATATATTATAGAGACTTACTAATAAATACGTATAATTCAAATCCATTAAGGCTGAAGGGTTCTTAAAAATTTACGATGATAAAAATCTTTAAATGTGATGCACCATTGAAGAGCTCTTCATGGTACTGAATGAAACGGTAGTTAAGCAATATATTGTATCAGTATATTTTCACATTGAGAACATTTATGTCCGAACTAGTGATATGATTTAAAATGATAAAATGATAGCTTTGAAAGTATAAAAAATCACTATCTATTTACAATATATTTTTATGGATTTAAAGACTAAGTTTTTTTCTTAATATATTCTTTTTCTTTAAGAAATTATTAGAAACTTAATTTTTTTTGCTAGAACGCCCTCCATTACCTAAGTCATATTAATTTATTAATATCAAATAATAAAAATATATCGAAGACAGTGAATGAAATATATAAAATCTCTTAATACAATAAAAAACCTTTAAATCGCCAAAACATATAGCGATAATTTCTGTAACAATAAACGTATATTTGATATTATTTCTAGTGAAGCATGTCACTCCGATAAAATAAGCTTCAAGAGGGGTAAGGATAAAGTCGTTAATGGCGGTGGCTTTAGCATTATCGATTGATGGCATTGAGGGTTTTTGGAAGTTCGCACGCGGGAGAGAATCGTAACGGGATGCGTATTCTGATATTATAAGAAGATTACTGAACACATCTTACACACACACACATATGTACTCGATACCATTCAATGTATTTCAATACGAGCTTACTTTTGAATATTTTACGAAAGCATTATGTATTATTGGTTCAGTGAAAATTATAATTTTGTTTCTATGATGTTATTTGAATGAATGATATATTTTTCGTATATAATATTCTGTATAATGTAATCTTGCTCGATATTTCGTATAATCTAATAATCTCATGTAATATTTCATTTAATAATTGCTTTATATATAGTACATGAATATTGTTATAGTATTATCTGTTCCATAATTTAAAGTTTACGTACAATAGTTTAATATACTTTAGGATTGAACAAATATAATTCCATAATTGTACTTGCAAATAACCGGCGAAGTTAGTTATGATAATAAACCTGGGTGTGTACAATAATCGTACCGCATTTACAGACTGTACACTGTAGATTTATTATGAACAAATTTACTGTATAATATCATACATACAACTTTAAAACTATTGTAACAGCGTATATGAGACATCAAAAAAAGGGTATTACTGTTATTTTTATGAAGACGATAACAATGAAGCAACGTTAAATAATAATATAATTTGAAATGTTTCAGTTAGCTGTTCTGTGTTAGGGGTTTGTCAGCTTGTAGAGTGTGACAGTAGTTTGGGGGAGAAGGGTCGCAAAAACGCCGACGGCATTCGGCGGCGGCGTCGGCGTCGGCGCTGTGCGGTGCGACTTTGTACCATAAATCAAAGCCACCCGGGAGACCCCGAGCTCACTATATAGCTAGCTACGAACGCTACACTCCACGACTATATACGGCGGCTCGTAACTTTAACAAAATATACTATTATTCTACTTATCACGGATCTCAGACGGTCACGGCTTCATAATCGTGCTGTCGCGTGTACATTCAGACGATGTATCGGCTGTTTCGTGTTACGCATGTCATGTATAACCGAATGGGGGGTATTTCGGTGACATTGGCGTGTTGAGGCCTTACTCGAAATACGGCTAAGGAGGAAATCACCTGGCAAGCCATTAACCTAATTCACGGACGCAAAGACAGGGCGGAGACGGGTGGCGGTGCTGCGCCCGCTTTAATATCGCTCGCTGCTGGTAATAAGATGGAAATAAGGCGGCGAAGAAATCGGGCCAATCATCGCCGGGCGCTACTTGACGCCGACGCTAAGCCTCGATAAACGTATACCTGCTAAGATAATATTTAAATATTACGCCGCCTATTTGAATACTTTCATTTATTAAAGTCGAATATCGTATTTCATTTTTGCATAAGTAAATTATTTTGATATATAAGACACCTGGCTTAAAATACAGCAAAGTCATTTCATATGATTAAGATTTATATCTCGATTTTTTTTTAAACAAATATGATAGCTCTGAACAAAATACATTTACACTTTTCCAATATCTCCCTAAAAAATTGTAAAAAATGAAAATGTTTTAAATAATACGACTCTTTATCGCACTGTAAATAGAAAATGTTTTATTTTACCGCAGACAAAAATTTACATAACGAAATATTATTAATTAAATACTACTTTATCCGTAATAAAATAAAAACTGAAACCGGTTTAAAATAAAATATTTATTTTTCAGTGTCAAAATTAAAAGTTTAATTAAAGACGGATATATTAAAACGGTAGAAATGTACTTTAATTATCACATAAAATTATATAACAGAATAATTTATGATGAAACAATGTAACGAGCAATGTTTTTGACAACAGACTCATCGTAAACACCACGATGAGTTACTGTAATGAAAATATTAGATGAGATGCGAAAAAGCCTTCAAGGAGTTTCAAAAGATAATTTTAATAAGACCGGAGATAGAAGAGGTTGCATTAATTTGTATTATTGTGACGTAATAAGGCTACCGACGAGGTTATATACGGTAAAAATACATATACATATATCTAAATTATAAATTTCTATTATATTATGCGTTAAAAACATATAGAAAAATTATAGGCTAAGTCTAAAAAATGAGCGGGAATAAAAAAAGGATAGTCTTTTATTTTCTAAACGTGATTTTAATTCGTAAATGCATTCGATATTAGTATAGCGAGAGAGTATTTCGTTAGAGCTGAATAGTTTTGACGTTCCGCAGGCGAGGAAAATCTAATTAATTACATTTGTCGACAAGTTATGTAGCAGACTTCCATTCAGTTAGAGCTTAGCTTGTATTATTGAAATGTAATTTTTAATACACGTCATGTTTATTGTGGTTGTACGACAAATGTTCTTACTGTTATTATAAAACAAATGAGACGTCTACAACGAGTAGATTTTATAATTAAAAAGCAAAGTTATTTAAATATACAAGAGTGGTTTCTTAGATCACATTATATATAATATAATTTAAGTTTGATATTAAGTAATATTTAATGTTAGTAATAATATTAAACATTACCTATTTTGTTAATAAGACAATTTTGATATAAGCCCCTTCTGTGTATTTCACGCTCCGAAGCGTTGAAGTATTAATACTATAATATTGTATCAATATTATTAAGTTATAAACTACATTCGATATTCTTATTCTTCTTCTTCTACCTGGCAATTTCCCAGCTATAGCCAGGGTCTGCCTTACATGATGTGAATAGTTTTTGGCTATTTGTTTTTACGACCGGCCGCCTGCCTAACATCAACCCTCTTTTTGGGAATCAACATTAATCAGTGATGTCTAAATACTCTTAGAAAGTACATATGATTCGGAAAAATCACATTGGTACTTGCCCGGGCCAGGATTGAACCCGCGCCCTCGGCAACGAGAGGCAGGCCTTTAACCACTGGGCCACCACTGACTATATTCTTATTATTTAATAAAAACATTTATTTTTTTATAAAAATATTTTAGAGGATGACGTCATTCCAAAATAAAATCAGGATAACTTGTGTTTAAAAATTTGCAAAAAGAAAAATATATTATTTCGTTCTATACATAATTGGATCTAATTTGATGGCTGTTAATTTTTACGATCTAAATCGACTTTTACCTCTAACATTTCCCGTCATAGGTTTTTATTATCTACATCTGGTAAAAGTAGAAATGAAAATTGCAAAACCAATTTGAAAATGTAACGTCTGTTTTTATTGTACGCTGAAAGAGTATTATATAATGGTTTGCTAGATATATACGAATTGTTTACATGAACGGACACGCATTAAAATTAATACGTGTGTTTTCGGAATAAAGTGATTCTATCAAGACTTAAAATTAATAGATTTTAAAAGCATTGAGAGCACAGTAACAGAATGAGTTGAACGTCATGAGATTTCATTTCCGTTGCATTACAATTTGCAGCACAATGGCTCGTTGGAATTAAATATTTGAGGTAGCGGTGCTCGAGCTAGCGCCGAGGTTCCAGCGACACGCGGCAGAGCCTGGGGAAAATTTAATTATTGCTTCACTACTACGGGGCAAAGTTCAACACACTCCTAAATGGACAAGTACATTCGTGACACATTAAATGAGTTTTCATGTCGAGTCATTATAACTCGGACCTGAACCCACTTCCCTTCGGTGACGTACCATTTATTTTAACGCATTTCTCAAGTCATAAAAATGTAATATCAAGACGGCTCTCTTATCCATACTTTGGTAGGTAAGTTTTAAATTTTATATATTTTTTATATTTGTTCAAACAAGTATATTTTTTTTTTAATTTTATTCACATAAGTTATATGAAAGCCAAAAAACTCCTGTTTAAAAATTAGTATTTCTATGGTAGTTTTTTGTCTATGTAGTATTTAGACGACATATACTAGTAGATTATGTAAATTAAATAAACAATAATATTCTCCTTAGCGGCTCCCTTAAACAAAGTATATAAAGTTTAATAGTATGTGAGCCGTAAATTTGAAGCACCCTTACGGTCTGCCGGGAGCGAACCTCCGGTTTCATGCAACCACACGTTCAAGTGTTGACTTAAATGAAATTTAACTTGACCATTCGACATAAATACGGTTAGATCGCGCCTGAATTGTAAGTGATCCCGCGGTTGAGCCCGCCCATACATATGTATAGGAATAATGAATCGATCACTTAATGGTATATGAATGAAGCGCGGAGTTTGAATCTGAGCTGCGGTGTACACATTGGATTCTAATGGAATTCACTTGTACGCAAACAAGCCTCCAAACGCCCTCGCCCTACCTCCGAGTAAGAGCTTCTACGTACATTAGGTGAGTTGGAATTAGTAGCTCTCAACAGTAAAATGTTTGTGTTACACTGTTGTGTCACATTAATTAGGTATTTAATAACATTTGAATTACATATAAAAAAAACAATAATATATAATATATTATAAATATTTTTTGTAGCTCTTTTTCATGTGATAGTTTTGAAAAAACTTTCATCGATAATACGCAAATAAAACTTGTGAAATGAAATTTATATTTGAATTATGTAAAAATTACTTTCTTATACGTACTATGAATTTACACTACATCTTAAGAATCCACAATCAAACAGTCAATGTTCGCATCGTTACAGAATACCGCTGTGGGTTCTTTTTATGTACATAAACTAAATATTGCAAATATAATTACATATTAAATCTCTGATTTATATTTGTTATAACAACAATCTGTTTGCTTTATCTAAACCATACACATACATAGTTTATTGTTTGAGCACAGCATTGCTTGCTTTGTCAATTTAATATCAACATACAAATCACAACTAAAATTATTTAATTAGCATAACCAAGTGAGTATCGATCGTTTGTTAATACTATGTGATTCATGCGACTTTCTCTATTGTTGGAACATACCAAATATGCATTGGAGTCACTTTATATGTTTATTAATTTGATCCAGTTACTCTGATCTGTAGGCTGCATTACTCTTAATTTTCATACAATTCAATAAGTTCGATATTAATGGGTAAGCATAATACGAGAAAAAAATTTCATTTAATTTGTAATTTAGCTGTTTTTCCAGTGAACAGAAAGCATCAAGCGAACAAAGCAACGGTAAAAATCACGTTCGTCGCATTAGTGAGACAATGCTAAGAGTCAGCTGAAGTTAAAAATTTTAGAACAATTGAATTAAAGTCGAATAGAATAGATTCGTAAATGTTGAGTGGAATAACAAAAAAAGAAAGATTTTGTTGTTTTCCATAATGTTGTTAGGAATAAAGTTTGAAACTGTTGGCATTATATGATTCTACTAAGGTCGTTACCACTAAAATCGGCACCCATTATTTCATCTTTGACTTTACTAATATTCTTTAATAATCCTTATTTGAAATTTAATACAAAACGAAACTGAAAAACCTTCAAAATATTTCATTTTTTTGATGAATAATTACAATTTACTTACCTCAAAATAACTGCATCAACGACAATAAATTATTTTGCATACGTACCTGAAATGAAAAAGAAAATGTATTAATTATTTAATATGGAAAGTCTCGCTTTTAATTTAAAATAGTTTATCGTTAATTGAAATCTTAGTTTATTGTGTGAACAAATAAACGAGCGACGTTTGAGAGATCGATGAAGCCTATTTAAATAAAAAAAGACGTGGACTTAGTGTAAAATAAAGAATTTTACTGAATTAATATATTAAATTACTCAAAATGTTTCAATTAAATAGTAATATATGCTAATAGAAGCTTATTAATGTTAACGATAACATTGAATAAGGCTTACAATATTATTTATTTAAAGATATTTTATATATATAAATATACAGACATGAATTTCTTCACGATCATAAAAATATGACGAGGATATTGTTTCGGCTTACAATATGGGTAATAATTTACTGAGCGAACTGGAATATTCGCTTGGATCCAAGACAACCCTACTTGGCCTTCGACCGGATTGGAGCGTTTGGAATTCCTTATATAAACGTCCCGCTATAATATCGGAAAAGAGATCAGAAGTTAATCTATCGGCAACATTCCTCGTGTTTCGCCGGAAGGCATCACAGCCCGCTCCCGCTCCCGCCGCTGCCAGGCTATGGCGTACGACGACCGCCGCCCGCCACCTCACGATCATCGATCCCTTTGCAACTCTATGCAAATAACTTGCTAGTACATTCTAGTTTACATTCAAATATAATAGTTAAATGTAATTGCTAAGTTTGATGACCATCTGCAGTAACAGTTTATACAATGCCACTTACAAGCCGGGATTCGATTAATTCTCAAGAGATTCAAAATTCTACGAACCATCCAGCAAGAATGTCTATAAAATAGTTACTCTAAGGAACTTTACTGTAGAGGAAAATATTTTTTTATAAGGTTTCAAACACATAAAATATATACGTTTTTTTTTCATTTTAAAAGCTTTGAAGTCTTTAGTCTTCGAGAGAAAATTAAAACGCTCTCAGCTGTTAATATATAGGATGTTTTTACATGAATTAAAAACATTCACGAAGTTTATATGTATTAAACTAAATCCTAGAAACGTGGCATTAAATTTTATTCTCAAAAAATGTTCAGTTACTTCATAAAAGGCAGCTGTTTTATAACGTTTGCGTTACTAATAAAATCCTGAAGAATTTAAACATAGAATTAATTTGAGCGGTTTTAATTTTTATATGGTAATGCCAGCTCAGTAATCACGATTCCGTTCATCGTGTTACATTTTAATTATAATAGAACCACTAAAGATAATTGCTTAACCTCATTCAGATGACAAAACAAATAGGACATGTAACATTTAATTATTTATACGAGTCGTCTTCGTATACTTATCTCCCGGTGTGTCATATCTAAAACACTCGAAGCGTGTTTTGTAATCAAATACACTTATTTGTTGGTGATTGTAACCTTAAATAACGGTACGAAATTAAATAAACTCTCTAAAACATTCCTGTTTGTTTTTCTTGTAAAAGGGATCAAAGCAAGCGTTACTTCGTAGTTTACAATCGAAATGAAACATATATATTGGTAGAAATTGAAAGCATTTGTGAACACAGATATAAGAAAGTTAAAATTATTGTTATATTAAGTTTAAAGAAAGATAAATGACAATATTTGTGTATCAGGGACAGGAGATACAATAAAAAAGATTTTTAATTTTTTTATATTATACAGGGTGACTGGTGAATTACTATCGATATTTAAGGACGTGATATTTGACGATCATATATGACAAAATAAAAATTAATATAACATAAATATCAATAAACTTCTAAGTAAAGTTAACCAAAAGTTATGTAATTAATTACGCATCGTATGAACACCCTACAGATTAGGTATACACACACACTCACACAGACGCGGCGGCGGCGTAGTGTTGTATCAGCACGCCGCCGCACGCGTCCACACTAGGAACACTTGGAACGTGTCAACACTTTATAAATTACGGAAATTTTGTCAAAAATTAAGTGCCTATTTTTTTTACATAATTCGAATGAGAATCATGTACCGAGTATTCTCCTTAAATATTGATAGTAATTCACCAGTCACCCTGTATAGTATACTCTAACCTTTCGTTGATTGGTTGTATATTTTAATAATACTGTGGACCAGCATTGATAAGTGATAACAAATATTGGACCGTGCTGTGGGGGGGCGGGAGCGACTTAGAAAACTTGACATTCGTTGACGTCGTAAAAAATAAGGCTATTGTATTTTTACGAGATCCGTGAGGTACCATCACAAACGGTCGGGATAAGTGAATGAGTATAGTTGGATTTGAATCGCCGTTCAAGCAAAATATTACAACGACATGCTATAAAACCTTTTCCCTGAAATATACAAAAAAAAAGTTGGAACATAAAATTTATGTAAAAAATATATTTTGTTGCCTTTTAAACCATATTATATCATGTGTATTTCTATTCAGATTCACATAAAAGTACGGATCCATTACTATATAAAAATATTGTATGTTTTATTTTCAAATATCCATGTAACAAAGTATCATTAATCTAACAAAATCCTTCACGAAAGACCTTATCAACAATATTGATAGTTTAACTTGTTAAACAAACCAATCTATTTTTGTTTATTTAACTATTAATAGTAAAATAACGATTATTTAGTTAAACTATATCACTATACCCGCATGTAACAGGCATTTAATAACGACATGATCTGTGTAAACAGAATTCGATTTATTATAGAACAATATAACACAAGCATATATGAAAAAATATTATTTAAATTAAATACAAGCAACATTCTGAAAAAGAGATTACTCCAAAGCGAAATACATTATATTATAATAAAAGCAATTTAAATTATTTACAAGCAACTAGTTCTATCGCAATTCAAGTAATTGAGAGTCATGTAGATGCTTCCGAGAGATGGGGTGAGGCTGGGAACAGCGTATAGTTTCCTTTAGTCGCATCTATTGCTAATATATTCATGAAAGAAAGTTGGAAAAATATTTTGAAAAGCTCTATTTACGTCTATAATATTATACGAATAGAGACGATATCGTGTAGGTAAGGAACAAATACGAAATATACACAAAAATATATGTTAGTGTTATAGACTGTTGTGTTATATCTGGTAACCAGTATAGGGAGTGCATGAGACATATGAATGGTATGTATGTCGTGGACACGGGAGGCGCACGCGACGCCGAGCAATTTCCGCCTCCCTATCAGATGCCTGCGCTAGTGTTATGCTATTTTACAACGAGAGAAAAATACCTATATATCCTATATATATACATAAGTATCTTTACATCATTTAACGTTAAACTTTAACTAAGTAGTTCGTTTAATTAGTTTCTTAGAGATAATCCAAGAATAGGTTCCAAGGGATAGTTGGACAGTATTACATGGGCCCCTTTACGTAGAACACAGGGAACAGGGAACAGGGAACAGGGAACGGATTGAATAATTATGGGTTAAGAAGCGTACCGTGTGGGGTCATGGTGAAAAGATGGAGAGGGGGCATAGCGCGATTAAATCTAAGGCGTTTCGGCGTGTTACAGGAAGTGGGTCAAGCGGCGCCGCCCGAGCTATTTATTGCGTTTCCGACTAAATTGCAATAGCTGTCTTAAGAACAACAAACGTTATATCAGAGCTCAAACGAATTAGAAAACTTTTAAATATAGACTTCTATATAACAACCATTAGGAACGGCGTAGCGGCGATCTCAAAAGAAAACTAAAATATGTTTTACAACTATTAGTGGTGTTCGGTATCGCGTATATACGGGACTAGAAGGCATACCATTAAAAGTTCTTTCTGTTTGATAGCGCGCCGTTCGGGCTGTCTTAGTCGCTCTGCAATTACAGACAAGTGCCTTTAAATGAACCGAGCACTCGAGCACGGTGCATCGCTTCGCACCCGACTGAGCCCTCTCCGCCGCGCCCTAGCTGCTGTTCCGTTTTCACTGTGTTAATTTGATTTCAAACGATTATTTCATTCCTATGCTCTTACTTTTATCGACAATTACTACTTTTTTTTTCATTTTTTATACAAACAATACATCGTTAGCAATCTCTGCTTTAAAACGTTAATGGTTGTATATAATCAAATCATATTGATGGAAATAGGTCAGAATGTAGCTTAAAATAACGATGCTAACTAAAACAACACTACAAATATTAAATTCACTGCATAATTTTCTTTGATTTCTCCAACGTGAGTTTATATTGTACGTTAATAATATTTTATTTATTATATAACAATAGAGTCAACGATTATATTCTTACAATTCATTTTATTACACATATAATATAGTTTAATTAGTAGTATTTAAATGTGTTTATTATGTAGCTTTTATAAAAAGAAACAATATAATGATGTTAGTATTTTCATATTTACATCATCTTATTTGTTGTAAGCACTTCATTTAATTGTTCATACAAATAAATTCAGCAGACGGCTGTATTGCAGGTGGAATTGTTTAATTTTACGGCTCCCTGCATTGTACGGTGTTATATGTAGTTTGTGGTGTTTAAATTTACGAATTGACGTTATCATTCATTTTATATTCTAACAGTGAAATGAACACGGAATAAAAATAAAATAATGTTGAAGTTTTGTGACAATAAAGCGGAAACCACGTTGCAGTAACATCCAATTAGTTCCGTATTGGCAAAGGATATTCTTAAAGTAATTTTATAGATTTAATCAATAATGAGTCTGGATTGCAAGTAAATTACGTACGAGTGCCGATGGTTATCTTTCGCATATACCGGTCTCTTTTAAGATTAGTGCAAACGTGCGACGGCCTGTATGTTCGAAGATATTGATTTTGGAATGTGGCCAAAAAAACTACTAGTAAGGCACGCGTCAACTGCCTCGATACCCGCTCCCGACGTTAACCCTTTCACGAATATTAAATTTTGTTTTGCCATTTTACGATTCCACAAATTCACTTCAAAATATTATCAATTTCTTTAATTCTGATCGAATCATTCGATATCGTATTAGGTTTATATACGTATTTATTAAAAGATAATTAATTATCAAATAAAATTGTGATAGATTCAATGCTTCCCATCTGATTATTAATTAATTTGATCTACAGTTTTTATAATTAACAATATTTGAATGGTCTTGTTAAAGAAAGTATCAGGGGTTTAAACGTGTGACATAAAATTGACATAAAAGTATAAATTCTTAGCATGGAATAAGTTAGAATGGAAAAGTTTTCATTTAAATGAAGAGTGAAGTCAAGTGCATGCAGTAACGAAACTATCTGGATACATAACAGTTAATATTATTTTAGATCTTTTAAATACAAAGAATAAGTAAAAAGTGTCTACCACAAAGTTTCTTTAAAGAGAAGCGTCTATTTTTCTCTATGAGCGAGTCTGCTTCCGTTTATCTGTCGTCTTTAAGTTTACTTTCTTTTATTTATTTTCATATATTCCGTCGTAGCATTTGTCGCTTCGGATAAGAAATGCCGTCATATCTTTGTGTAACGTAACGATCACATATTTTAAAAGAATTGACATTGCTTCGAGATGACAGAGTACGCTACACTTGTAGCGTTATGTCTAACAAATAAAAAGTTGTAAACAGATAGCATATTTGCATTTTACGATCGACTATTCACCATGCCATTAAGTGAGGCCGCGCTGAGCTCGGTCTTAAATTGGTGTAAATCC